TACCAGATACATCCACATCCCCAAGCAAAAAGCGAGAGTTTCTAGCATTCCAGTTGTGTCCTATGTTCTGAGAGAGTCATCCCGGGAAAGGATGCACAAAGGCCAGAAGCACAGAAAAAGTGTGATCTGATGCCTTCAGCTACTTCAGTGGCTTTTCGCGAACAGCCACGGCATCAAGCTCTTCCTTCTCCAACTTTGCCAGAAGCTTCTTGCCTGATTTGCTGTGACACAGAACCCATGGCAACCCATCAAACTCTGTGTCCAACCCGGCAGCCGGGCCTCTGTTGAGGAGCTCCCGATCCGAGCTTGGGAAGGCCCCAGTGGCCCCAGTGGCCCCATTGGAGGTCCCATGAGCCCCATGGATCCCATCGCTCCGTGCGGTGATCCCAGGGTTCCCAGTCCTCGATCCATCGGACTCCGGCACTTTCTGTTGCGCCTGAGCCCAGGCCCGATCTCGCACCTGCCTGGAGGTCGCTGTGACCACCGATCCAAATCCCTTGACACCTTGGAATTCAAGTCATCCAAATGTGGAAAGGAGATTGAGAATTGTTTTTTTAGTTTTTCTATGTGTTTCTACCTGAAGATCATGAAAATGTAGCTGGATGAATGAACTACAATGATTTGATTCTGCGTTTTGAATGGATTTACGGACCTGCACAGCCAACTACAACCGCTACTTGGATTTCTGCTTAGATTTGGATGCTGCAACCATCCAATTCGAGAACTGAGGACGCATCTCTTCTTATCCGCCTGCAAGCCGTGGAGCAAAGCCCAAAAACCAAACGGAAATTGGTAGTTCTGTTCTTCTCCTTTGCTATCTGTTCCCTTCCAGACTCATGGGCATGGTCATGGCCTTACTGATGATAGATGGGAGTACACACAACGTTGGAAATCTTGCAACCAAATTGATGTATTGAAAGGAGCTGTGTGTGTGTGCCTACGTGCACGTGTGCACATGTGCATGGTGTGTGTGTGCATCATTTACATATATACTTAACTTGCAAATAACAGCAGCTTTCTGTGCATACAAATCTTCGTATGTTGCACATATGACATCTGCATGTATAATCATATATATGTGTGTGTGCATGTGTATATTATATTTAGAGTACGTATATTGACTAGTAATTACATGCATTAAGAGCGTACAAATCTTCGGACATAAATTTGCATCTTCACACAACTATACATTAATTAATGATAATTAATGATCATTACTATGAACAAGCACAATTCAGCACATATATGCACATATACATTCCTGTTGTCTACCGCAGCATCCGTTTTGAAATAGAATGCCATCCGCAAATTCACATGCGAATAGACTCACCTCCGGCAAAGAAGCCCATAGGCTTGTCTTTCTATTGTAACATTCTTGTAAGTCCAATCAAGGATTCTTGTGATAATGTTTGAGATGGTGTGAGTATGGCCGGTCCGCGCAAATTGTTTCACGTGTTCACTACCCAGAACTGAATGCATTCCCTATCCGCGCAGCGTATTTGTGTGGGCGTGTGGACCAAATGTTTTGCTGTCCATTGTTTCTACTCGTGGAAGAGCTGCAGAGGTTTTGATTGTATGCCCACATGGGAGCGGAGAATACTTCAAAGAACTAAAGAACATGGCAGAATCGGCCCATGAAATGCCCATATTCCATCATATTCCTAGGTGAAGATCCCCCATAATTATACTTCACCCAAGCTGCAGAGCTGCAGATTCGTGCATCTTTTGAGCGAGCCATCAAGCTGTCATCAAGCTGTCATCAAGCTGTCATCCCCTAAAGGGACATCGGATCAAGCTGCCTTCGGCAGGACCTTCCAGCTGGACACAAACGAAAACGGAAAAGAAGCAGCGTTGAGGACCTGCAAAGCTACATGGCGTGCAAGCTACATTCTAGTGAGATGTGTATAGTGTATATTTATGTATCTGTATAGCCATGAATATTCAACCAATCTGAATTTTTTGGATGAAAGCATATAGTCTGACTGTGACACTTGCAGCTTGTGCCAAGTCTCAAGGTTCCATGTGCAAATGCAATTGCAACAGGCGAAGCACGCAGGCTTTTTGCTAAAAGGGGGCAGCTCGAGTGATCACTATGTGACAGCAGCGGAAATGAGGATCAGTTGCAGTGGAATGTCGGCACATGAAAACAGGAATGTCAGATCATGTTGCCTAAATGCTGGATGAAATTCACACTCCAACTATTCTGTTGATTGACATTCCTCTTGCATTCGTGCAATTGGATCCATGGCTCTTGAAGCCAGTTGTAGAATGAGATCATCAGGTTTTGACTCACTTTGGTCAAACCGTCAGCGAACTGTATCGCTGTTGGGATCCAAAACACATTGTCCCTAGACAAAAATTGCTGGGCCGACCGGATGGTCACAATGGTCCTCTTGTCCTCAGTGCGAGGATTCTCACTAACTAAAACATCGTAAAGCGAACGGCAGTCGGTTGCCTGCACCATTCGCAACAAATCGCAAGAGGGAATGTGAAACGCCGGCCGGTTCAGAAGCAGCTCACTCAGCATGTAGTTGATCAGGCTGGCACGATCAACACTCATATCGGCCGCGGAGGCTCAGCAGCAAGAGTGGATCGGCAAACGCGCGTAGATCTCGAACTCTTCCAATCCACCAAGAGTCCAGGTTGAATCACATCGGTGGCCTTAGGGCTGGAAAGCAAAATCAAAGCACCATGTTGACTTGCATGTCCAACAGCATTGGCCCAACTGGAATCAGCATAGGTGGTGATCATCGTGGAATAGTCGATGGGCACGGGTCGCAAAACCAAGCCATGATCTTTTGTTTGATGCAGGTGCTCAACAGCCATGTACATGTTGTGCAAGTCTTCGTATGTTGACTTTGCACCTCGGCTGCACAGACTGACGGTTGCAGCAACGTCAGGTCTCGTCTGTCCAGCCAACCATTGCAAACATCCTGACACGCTTCTAAACTCTCCCAGGTCGGAGGCATCCAAGGTCTCTTTGTGCCGTTTCTTCGGAACGGTGCCACCTTTCATGTCAGAAATGAACTTCTCCTGGTCGAGCTTGAGGGTGTACTCATTGTTGTTGCGGTCGTGCTTCAAGGAAATGCGCTTGCCCTTGAAGTCCAGGCTGTTCTCTAAGGTCAGCTCATTCTGGCTTCCCCACTTGAACATCTTCAGCAGGTGATTGCGATCATAGCGGCTGTCGTGGGTCAGCAGGAAGTCATCCACGTACACTATGATGACAGCGCAAAGGACAGGTTCTGATTCTCCTTCAAACTTCTGATAATAGTAGAAAAGCATCTTATCCAGAGAAGATTGTTGGTATCCAATCTGTTTCAAAACCTTCACAACATGCATCTGCCAAGTGCGTGGTGCTGAAGCAAGTCCATAAATGTTCCCCACAACTTCCAATAGGTCTGCTCCTCTGAAAATGTCGGCTCTTTTGCAAATTCCATCGGCAGGTGGAAGAAGAAAAATTGGCATGCTCCTCTGCTCGGGTGTTCCCTGGAGGAAGGCTGTTTTGACGTCGCCTGCCCACAAACACCAAACTGCATTGGGATTGCCCATCATCTTCCCATTTCGGCCTGCTATGTAAATTGCAAAAACCAAGAACTCAGACTGTCTGGTTGGAGTGGCGCTCTCACGTTGAAGCGTCCAAAGGTCTGGATCGCTGCATCCCACTGCGACAATGCGGCACTTCGGTCGTAGTGGACCAACTCCTCTAGACTTGTCTCTGAAGGCTGCACGGGAACGTAGAACCCGTTTGCGTAGTTCCTTGTCTCCAAGGATCTTGGCAGCTTCCTTCTTGGAAATGGGGCGCGCACTGCTGAAGTCGAGCCATGAGCGCTCTTCTGCTTTTGCTGCATCAACGTACTGCTGGATGGTGGCTTCATCCATACGCATGATATTCTGCCAAGGGATCTCTTTGTCCAGGGCTTTCTTCTCTTGGCGGGTCAAGGTAGGTAGAATGGGCTTTTGCTCTCCACGGAAATCCTTGACATCAGCGTCAGATTCGTCGCTGTCGCCATTGCCATCGTAGTCGCCATGTTGGCGATATGCCGTCATGAAGCTCTTGTTGGAGTACGGCATGTAGACATCTGGTGATCCATCAAATCCTCTAGCCATCAACATCATGCCGTCGACATCATCATTGTCGAAGTCGACGTAGTGATCTTGCATTGTTGAAGACATTGAATTGGTCGACCTTTCATCTCGAAATGGTCGCAAAAAGGATACATCAAAAGTTTGATCTGCTGCAGCTTCATCAAAGGTTCTTTTAGCTGGCGTCAGCCGCAATGCTTCTGGTGTTGTTGGAGCTTGATCTCCAATGTCATCTGCCACGGCGGTCTGGCTCTGTGGTAGAACTTGTTGTCCATGAGACGATGCAGGTTGCCCTGCAGTGTCATCATCATCTTGCACCACGATCACTTCGGTCTGTGGTGTTTCTAGTGGAGGCGTTATGCCACCGGCTGGATTGGACGGTGCCAATACAGAAGGTGGGTTCGCCAACGGTTGCACTGAAGAAGGTTGATGTGCTTGCTCTAGAAAAGGTTCATCAGGCAACTGTCGTACTGAAGCAGGTTGGGCTCTTTCGCCATGTGGTGTCAATGCTCGTAGTTGTCGAACCGGTGTTTTCGACCTTGAAGCATGTCGTTTCCTGACAGGCACATTGACTGTGGGTCTAGAGCGCTGTGCTTCATTCATACCAAAGGATTGGTTCTGGATGATGGTCTGTCTGTAGGTTGGTGACGACATGTTCATGTTGATGGTCGTCTGCTGCTGCTGGTATGGATCCGTTTGCGTAGCTTCCTCTTCAAGTTGAAGTTGAGGAGGTTGTTGCGCTGGATCGGGCAAAGGTGTCCGAGGCACAGGAATGAGCTCATGTTGATGTGCTTCGGGAATGCCATCTTCTATCCCAACAGGTGGAGGCACTTGCACCTCAGGTTGCACTTCTTCAAAACCAGGTAGTTCTTGTCCTTGCGGTGGATCTGGTAGTTGCTCGTCTTGAAGAATGCCATGTTGAAGGTTTTCAACAGCTGACCTCAAGGCTTTGATGTCGTCGTAGTTGGGATTCCATTGTTCAAATCCAAGTGCTGGTCGAACTTGATGTGGTGCTACCTTCACGGTGTTGGTGCCTGCTTGAAGCCAAATGCTCTTGTTGTCAGGGTCGCGGCCCAAAACACGAGCCAGTTTGAATCCACCTCTCTTCTTGCCAGATTTCGCAGTCCATCGCCAGTATGCTGCAATGGAACCAACTGGTAGTTCTTGAAGTTGGTTGGAGGTAGACTTCCTCAGCAAGGCACGCCGTAGGTTGCTATCCACACTCATCGCTGACAAATGTTGTTGTGCTTCCGCACGCATGTAGTCAGCTTCGCGTTGAGCTTGTTCACGTGTTCTACCAGCTACAAGTCCATGTTGATCTGAAAGAAGGTTCATGCCCATGCGTGGCACTCTTCCAAAGGCTGCCACAAAAGGAGGTCGCCCTGAAGACCATGTGCAGGAGTTCTTTGCAAAACAGGCTGCTATGGCTGCTTGTTCCATGGCTTCAGGTCCTACCACTGCTCTTGCATCAATGGTTCTCTCCATCAGCTCTCTCAAGGTGGCGTTGTGCCTTTCAATCAGACCAATCTTGTTGTGGGCCTCGGCAGGGATGTAGTCCATGTAGGTTCCAGCTTCATCCATTGCCGCTTCAAATGATCCACGGAAGCTTCCGTCGGGATCAGCTTTGATCTTCAGTGGAAAACCAAAAGGTCAGGCCCAAAACGTAGAAAACTTGTAGTGCACCTCCTCGGGACTTCGGTCATTCAAGTGCAAGGCCATGTGAAGGTGCGTGCACTCATCAATGATGCCCAAGAAGATGTAGTTGGTCGAGGTGATGTCCCTGACATAGACGATGTCAATCTGCAAAACATCGCCGAACTGCAAGCTCACATCTTGAGGAATGCCTGCAGGTTCGGGTTTGCCAGGTCCCCTCACACGCAAGCAAGATTCGCATGTCAAAGCTTCAACTGCATCATAGACCTTCTGATCTTTGATGCCATTCATCGCAAGCATCTTTTTCAACTCATTGTTGTGAGGATGTCCAAGGTTGCGATGAAGTCTTGAAAGCAAGGTCTTGACGTCTTGTGAAAGACCAGGTATCCTTGGAAAGGTGATGCCCTCTGTGTTGTGAGCCACAATTGCTTGTGGGTCATCTTCAGCTGGTTCTTGTAGAGGTTGTCCATCAGGTCGTGCTGAAACAGGTTGATTTGCATGGCTACTTGGTGTTGCATATCCAAAGAAGAAAATGCCAATGTTCACGGGTTTGCGGAACTTGGCTCTTGGGTGTCTCACATCCGCCAGGTCCTCTTCAACAACTTCCACGGTCTGGTCGTTGTAGAGCAATGCCCACCCACGGTGCGTATGAGGAATGTGCAAGGGCAAACGCAGCATGGTTGGTTGATACGCAATCTGCACACGTTCAAGCTGATGCCATTGCACAAGTTGTTGAACCATCTTCCATGTCGTGTCTGATGTGGGCAGAACATAGCTTCGTTGTCGTGTCATGTCAAAGGACTTCTGGGCAGATTCAAAAATGGGAACCCAATCATCTGGTGTTGTGTTCACAGCCATCACCTGAAAACTTGTTGTGCAAAAAGCATGAAAACGTTCTGGATCATGTTGTGCAGCGGTCTGTTTGATTCCCTGCACGATCTGCTTGATCATCTCATCAGGGTAATGCTGTGAAAGAGTTGTTTCTTTTCCAACCAAAGGTACACATTGAAGCAGCTGCTCTGAATCAAGTTTTCTGGTCAGTCGCTCTAGCACGCAAGGGCAGTTGCCAAGAAACTTGAAACTCTTCTTGATCATCTGGCCTTTGGAGTTGGTGCCGCCATAAGCGCCTGAATGGCAAACAACTGCGTAGACTCCTGGAAGTCTTGAAAGTCTCAGCACCAGCGGCTCAAGCCAAAGTCGACTTGTTGCAGGGTTCTCCAAGAGGAAAAACCTTCCAGCTTCAGCTTGTTTAACACACCAACGAACTACTCGACGTAGCAACTTCCTGGCCTTCTCCCTCCGCATCAAAAGCAAGATCTTGCGTCTCACGTAGTTGGTGTTGTCTTGTAAAAGACACCAATCACGGCAGTCGATGCCTTGCACGAGGAAGAGGGGCTTGAAGTGGTCGATCAGATAGTCCACATGTTGTTGGTGGCTGGCCTTCTCAAGGTCATAGCCGGTGTTGTAGTCAATGGGTTGGAGTGCTTTCAAACCAAGTTTGGTAGCCTTCATAGTGATTCCAGCACGTCCAGCAAAAGTTTCTAACAAATCCACCCGTGGCCTGCTCTTCAAGGATGTTGAAGTAGAGGAGGATGTAGTGCCAGCCAGCATCACATCATGCTCAACCTGAAGCAAATGCGCAACTTGTCGAACTGCATGTCGCAAGCTCTTCCGCTCCAGATTGGTTGACACATGTCGCTCAGGCAGAGGGTGAACGCGAAAGATGGTCTTCCCAGTCCAGTATTGTTTCATAGCGGATGCCCCGGACGTGCTCCAATCGTAGGTGAGCATTTGTGTCCTGCCATCCTCATAGTTCATCTCGGCTGTGCACTCCAGGCTCAGTCGTTTCACATGCACTGGACAAGGTTCGCCATTGTAGAAGTCATCCATGTTGAAAAGACTTTTGCGTGGCATGTTGTGAACCCTCGTGACCATGTTTTTGCCAACTTCCCACCAGTCGGCCTCATCGTTCATGCATAGTCTTGGATCTCCATGGCTTCGTCCCATCCGTGGTATCCATCCTCGCCGCCATCTGACTCGGGAGGATAAGCTTCCGGATCCCAAATCTCCTCCATCGCTGGCAGGAAAACTTCTTGTGGTCGGGCTTTGGGCTTCGCTCGGGACTTGGAAGTTGTAGTCCTCGATGTCGAAGAACTCGTTCCCCTGTTGGTGGGCTCCAGGATGTTGGAAGATGAGGGCAGTGGCAAGTGCGAAGAAACTTGCGACTGCGGACTTCCATGTGGGCGCCATCCTTTTTGACTTGGGTCCCATTTGAAAACCTGTTGGCATCTCTTGCATCGGCTGAACGAACCCTTGTCGTTGCCGTACCTCTTGTACTCGGGGTGCATGCATGTCGCTGGATTGGCCTGCTTTGGCATCTTGTTGACAACCTCTGAGCGTTGACGCTCCATCTCCTTGATGTTCTCGTCCAGGGTCAGCCAAGACCGGGTTGCCAGTCCAAAGCGCACCATGCTCGACATAGCTTTGTAGGCCCTGATCTCGATGGTCATCACCAGGACATACAGTATCTGCCATCGCTTCAGCCATTCTGGAGCTGTCGCACGGAACATCCGTAGGCAGCAAGGCTTGGGGCGGCAAATCACGAATTGAGCCTTTGTTGAAAGCTCCCGGTGCAAACATGAGTTCAGGATCAGGTTCATGCCAAAGTTGATCTCGCGAGAGATGCTTCCAGCACGGATGGTTTGCCAAATCTTCTGAAAACATCGCAATATTGACTGCTAAATGACCGTGTTTGTGAGTCAAAGGCAGTGTAACACCAAGGTTTGCAAAAGTGATGGTCTTGGTGAACATGTCAATAATGCAACCCAAACGTTCCAGCAAAGTTCTGCTTGCCAAAAAAGGTATGTTGGTGGACAAAACGCTAACCCCAAACAACAATCCCTTGGTCTCCTGGCCTTCCATCTCGATGGGGATGTAGGCGCGCTCTGCAGCTGCAATTGGCTTGCCTGAGCCAAACTGAAAGTGATCAGAGCTTTCGATCATCTTGACCCTGAGACCATGTCGTTCCAGGATTTTGGCATGGGTTTTCAACCAAACTTCACCGCAGCATGATCTTTGGCAGGCAGTATCTAAAACCATATAACCCCCAAGGTCAATGGACTCCGTGATCCATGTAGTTGATGTTGCATCGGCCCCAAAAATTTGGTTGGTGGTGAAGGTAAAATATGTTGATGAAGAGCTCGGGGTGGTTTCATCATCATGTGGTTCATGTGAATGTTCTCCATGTTGAACTCCTACCACATAGGCTTTCTTGACATACTTCTGACCAGGTGAGGATGTAGATGAAAACGAAGAACCCCCAGCACCTTTTTGTCCTTTTCCACCGCCATCGCGTTTGGATGCCGACATCGAACAGGCTGAATCGCCTGCCCAGTGGCCTGTCTGGCCGCAAGCGCTGCATGTGCTTGTTTTCTTCCGTTCTTCTATCGACTTCCGTCCGGTGAACTTCCGTCCAAGGACTGAGGCTTGAAGCTTCTTGGAGGTGACGGTGAGCACCTGAGCTAAATCGGCCAGGGTGTCAACGTCGATGGAAGGCACATCTGCCTCCTCATAGTCACCGTCTCCCTCTTCAGGAATCGGCTCCAGCTCTTCTCCATCTTCAGGTTGGCCTTCTGCATCTTCGAAGTCCTCTGCATCGTCTTCCTCATTGTCAGCCTCGTCCTCGACTTGTTCCGTTTGGAAGACACTGCGAGGAGGCCCTTTTCCATGGGGATACGTCTTTGGTGATTTCCCCTTTCCGGTGAAACGTCCTTTTCCAGAAGACGTTGCAGTAGACGAAGACCTGAAAGTGCCAGTAGAGCTCCGGTTGGAGGATGAGCTCGAAGATGCTGAAGTCTGATTGTCAGCTTGCTGTCTGTTGTGACTGGAGGTCCAAACCATAGGAGTTGGCTTGAAGTCTGGAAACTGCATGCACATCGACTCCGTGATCTTCTCGTAGTCCAGGCAGTTCCCGGCTCCGATCAGCACCAGTCGTTGTAGGTCTGGAGACAGCTGACAACGCTCGAGGATTCTGTTTCCACGAGCTTCACTATCGTACATACTGCCGGTCTCTATGCCGATGGTTTGTAAGTCTCGTTCGATTCTGCGATATCGATTGACGTACTGTCGGACGGTCTCGGCATTGTGGCGCCGAACGCCCTCGAAGTCGGCCAGCAGTTTTCTCTTCTGGAACAGCACCTTCTGTTGTAGGGGTCCTCGAAGTTGATCAAGGATGTAGCTGACTCCATTCTTGTGGTTGATCTTGGATAACTCCAGGTGTTCGGCTTCAGCTTCAGCTTCACCTTGCAAGCTTGTGTAGAGTGCCAGGCCCATCTCGGCGGCAGTCATGAAGCTTTTTGCCTGAAGCTCCCAAGTTCTCACCTTTCTCTCATACTTTGCAAAGGCTCGTAGATCTGATTGTTGATAGATCCACTTCGGCGGCAAAGGTGGAGCACCGCCTCTCCATCTCACTCCAGGTGCGGGCCCTCTCATGCTATTCCATGAGGCCTCGCTACCAGTCTTTGCAGTAGATCGCTTTTCATGCAACAGCTGTCGCATGACATCAAGCATATCATCTCCATGTCCATGTCGTTGGTATAGTTCTGCAGGATCGTCTCGTTGAACCGCAGCATCTGGGAGAACTGGGCCATGTAGTGCATCAGCAGGCTCACTGACTTGGCTTCCACCACGTCTTCGGCGCCGTCTACCACCAGGAATCGGTTCATCAGGGTTGACAATCGGATCGAAGGTCGGCGCCTCGCTCTCAGCTCTTTCAGATCCACCTCCATGAGCATCATCAGGTGGGTATCCATGAAATAGCTTGGGGCCACCAAAACCCGATCTACGATTGACAGGGGTCGGGGAGCTAGAGGCGTCACCCGAACCACTTGCTACAGAGTCTGGTCCGTGAGGCACATACATCCATGTTCCAGTGGGTGTTTCGAGCTTCGTAGGTTGTGACACGTTGAAGTATTCACATCCACCACACGTAGGACATGCGTATCCCTTCTCATCATCCCATCTCCATGCAGCAGAGTGGCATGAAAGGCACTGCCATTGGGCTTCTTCTCCAGTTGTAGGTCCCGTCGGATCACCCCTTGGAGGAGCACCATCAAGGTCTCGGTCCAATCGGCGTTCCTCGGCCGCCACTTCCGAAGGTGACCAATCAAACGTAGCATCGTCTGATGACATCTCCAGGGGTCCAGCTCCGGTGCCAACTGACTGTGACACTTGCAGCTTGTGCCAAGTCTCAAGGTTCCATGTGCAAATGCAATTGCAACAGGCGAAGCACGCAGGCTTTTTGCTAAAAGGGGGCAGCTCGAGTGATCACTATGTGACAGCAGCGGAAATGAGGATCAGTTGCAGTGGAATGTCGGCACATGAAAACAGGAATGTCAGATCATGTTGCCTAAATGCTGGATGAAATTCACATATAGATGACTTTTCTACTGGGTTTGGCCCCATATCCATTCCAAGGTGATTGTAGCTCTTAGCTCATGGGTCCACCATTGTCCAAGTCAGGCTGAGAATGGGAGGATGCCGAGCAAAAAGGTCAGGCTCCCCACCGCTTTTTGCGGTGGGCTGTGTCCAGATGCCATGCCGTTCCCAGGTGGCGCCAGTGCCGTCGATGACGCCGTGGACGATGTGGACGACGTCGTTGACGTCGATGCCGTGGCCGTGGCGCCCTCGAGGCAGCTGCTGTTGAGCTCCACGCTTTTCGTCCCGCACTGTTGAGAGGGGCTGCAGCTGCCCTGCACCCAGGCACCACAGCGACAGGGGAAATCTGAGGTCGTGTAGGTGTGATTGCCAATTAAGTACACGCCACAAGTCACACTGCTCTTGGCACAAAAGTTGAAGCTTTCACGCATGGATTCGCACGGATCCAGCATGTAAAAATTGATCGCCCATTGGCAGTCATCGGTCACGACAAAGGCCTTGGTCCAGTAATCCGGACCAGTTGCGTAATAAGTGGAGAGTGCGTCCTTCACCCTGTCTGCAAAGTCTTCTTCGCGGCAACTCGTGGCCTTGTAAGGCACATCCAAGGTGCTACTTTCCAAGGGAAAGTTGTCGGTGAGTTTGCATGTCCGTGTCATACCCTCCACGGGACCGGTGCATAAATGAAGGGGCCTTCGATCACAAGCCTTGGTTCGGACGCTCAAACTGAAGCCACTGAAAAAAGCCGGCCCTCTTGAAATCTGTTGTGCCCTGATTGTTACATGATGTTACATGTATCTGTATTTCAAAAACCCACATTGGTAAGCTGTTTCAAAGGTGGTAATAAATATGATTGCATCTTTATACATACAATTACCCTGATTATGATCAGTTTCAAGACAGTACCAAAGCCAGGACACTGTGAAAGCACCAATGATCTGTATGCTTGCGGTATACATCGCTCCAGCCCAGGGCGCAGTGTGATCACAAGTTCCCCAAGCCGCATCTTCTGGAGTAGTAGCCACGAGCACTACCAAGTCGTCGTCGGGGAAGAGGTTTAAGGTGGCTCCCAAGCAACCACCATGGCCCACCACTCGCTTCCCATGCCTGGAATACATGGCGAAAGTCCTGCCAGTTGGTTGGTCCACTCCATGCCTTGGCAACTCAAACTGGAAGCTGCAACAGGTAAGATTGGGAAAATGGAGCATGGTGTATGATTGAGGCTATAGATGATATAGATACCATGTTAATCATTTGAGATGCGTGTTAAAGCAATGGAATCTTCAATCTGCTGAACAAAGTCCTCTGTATAGGGAATAAATTTTAATGAATGTCTTTCCAAGACTGATACGCCCAACCTTTTCAAACTATACAACGTTCGCACTGCCAAGTCGCTTTTTGATGGGTGACATCAAATCAACAAAATCCTGGTGCTTCAAAACACTCTTGGCGATCGCATCCGGATGGTTTTTATAGCCATCCACCAACCATTGGCCGTACAATCCCACATCGCCTAAAGTGGCCCAAAGACCTCCGGCCGGATTCGCGTACTGCACTTCCGCACTGGACATGCCCAAGGGATCAAAGATCAAGGACTTGGTTAAGGTGCCGAAATCCACACCAGTAATGGTCTCCTCGATGAGGGCTAGAATCTGCACACCATCGACATGCACATAGTTCGTTTGAGTGTTCAGTTCAGGAATACAGTTGCTCAAAGGTGGGTATTGTAAAGTATTGTTGACCCAAACTGCTCGACCTGCAGGATACCCACCAAGGTAGTTTTGCTGGTAAATTTCCTGCATTGTCGCTTCAGATATGGGTGCACCATCAGGAATTAGGCAGGCAGTGTGTGAGGCCACGTCCAAGAGTGATGCATTCTCGTACGCAGTTCCAACTGCCAAAGGCAACCATTGAAGCAATTTGTCATTCCTTACTTGTTTTTTTGTTTGGAAAATCCACCAAAATTGCTTGTGACTGCAAACACGGAATATGTTTTTTTGATGTTGTTTGACCATCATTAATGTCATTGTCACCGCACAAAAAATACGTGAAACGTGAGTTCTTTTCAAGAGGAAGACTCCACGAAATGTGCGGCAAACTTTCATTTGCCATGAGCATTTGCATCACCACCCCCACTAGAGTTTTGGTAATGGATGCGTAGCCCCATCTCACCAGTGGCGGATTCACCACGGGTGTTTTGCTGGAGGCACCACTCCGTTGATACGACCCGACGGCCACATTGGCCAGCTCACCGCATCTGTTGCGCACCAAGCCACCACCTGCATCCAAGCTGGGAACCAAGGACGCACCTTCGGCCAGCATTTCGTGCAAGAACGGTGTGACACCATCCAAAAGGCGTGACATGGCAAATGGAACTCGGTGCTGCTTTGTGGCAACCTACACCAAAGATTCACCGGCAAATGTGGAATTTGTCCCAAAAAATCCATCATCACGTTTTTGAATGTAATGCCCATGACAGCATGTTTTGCCTCAAACACCTGATGTTGAATGTTGCAACACATTTACTGTAATCCATTTTTAGTACACTCCTTGAACAAACGTTTTGAAGCACGGTCCATTTACAACTTAATGTGGCAAAAAAAGGCATCAACATTCATGAGAAGCCAAAACAAACACAAGAAGAAAAGCAAACATAGATGGGAACCACGATGCCTCGATTTGTATAAACCACACTGTCTGCACAACTCCATAGTGATGTCCCTAGTTCAATTCAAGAATTGGAGACAGTTGTATTGAAAATTGCGGCGTCTATTGAATAGTCTATTGAACAAAGCGGAGAGATAGAATCCACATGCAGGGAACAGCATAGACTGTCAGAATATGCTGCTTCAAAGACGGAATTGTCGCGACCAAGTCCAAAGAGCAGAAGAGTCAAAACCCATTCGGAAATTCCTACGTGCACGCATGCGTGAAAAACGCAACCATTGCACTTCCAAGATGTTGCAGGAGTTTCGAAATCTGGGGAACATGGTGACGATTCATTTTGAACCACTTCGTCCGCACAAGAAAACTGTGGATGAAAACTTTTATGTCACTTCTGGATGAAAAGACCACGGTCTGACATCATGGCCCAAACGCTTTTCACTCCAGGGGTCAAGCGTCATCATTTGGTCCTTTTGAAGAGTTCCTCCCATGTTGGCGGCATCCCAGGGCGCGGAAGATTGGGCTCATAGCTCTGTGGCTTGTGCTCAAATGGTATTCCAGCACCTTCACTTTCCAGGACCGCCTCGGCCGCCTCGGCCTTGTCGCGGTACTTTGTCAACATCTTATGCTGATCTTGGACTGGTGCATACCCAGACTCCATCCTCTCCAAAATGGGCAAGGCATCTTGTCCCAGCAAATATTCAAAGTCCTTTCCAGCCGTCTCGTAGAGCCGCTTGGAATCTTTCAGCCTCTGCTCCTGACTCTCTGGATCGAGACCTGTCCAAAGCACGATGTTGGCAGGCCGGTTGTCTTGCTGCCACGCCGCACGCTGTGAGAGTTCCCCCAAGGACGTGGCAAGGAGGACCTTGGCCTTAGCTTTGGTCTGCATGGAAAAGGGCAGCAACTGATCCAGCTCCCGCAAGCACTCTTGTGCCGTTGCCGTGGAGCTGTCAGTGGGCGGCTGAACTGCCAAGGTGGCTGAAAGTTTGGCAAAAAGATAGCGGATCCTGCACAGCCACATCGGCAGTCCAACAGGAAAAGATGCCGCCTATAGCGCCTTATAACTTATACTTATATATATATATATATACTTATAACTTATAATATCTTACAATCCTCAAAATTATGTGGGAAATAATTGGTTGTCTGGGTTCATTAAAGCCCGACCTGCCCGAACTGGCCCGAACATGATATGACGTCACACCACCCCTGGCCCTGATCCTCTCATCTGCTTCCTCATCATTGGCCCTGCAACGATCACAAGGACATGGCGTGCCCAAGACTTTCACCAAATGGAGGCTTCGCCTAAGCCGCGGCTGCAAGAGCACTGGCTCCTCCACATGAGAGACCGTGATCTCCTCACGCCGTTGGATTCCATCCAGGCTGATCACATGCAACATCCTCTTCCCTTGCGGAAATCCTTTCCTCAAGGTGAACCATGCAGCGTTGGGCTTGCAACTGTGCCGAATGTGGCTGCAGATGCTGTAAATTGCTTTGCTGCCATCTGAATTCACCTGTCCGAAACGGCCAAAGATCGAGGAGACTAGGATGACGTGATTCCAGTAAATGGACTGCCGAAATTGCGGGTGATCTTCCAGAAACGCTTCAATCCCTTTCCTGTTTGCCTCATGGATGGCCTTGGCCACTGGATCTGAAGCCTCCAAATCCTCACGCCAAAGTCCCAAGAACTCCTTCTGCTTGCGTTCATGAAGCTGTCGAAATGCCACATATGCTGCCAACCGACTGCTATCACCCAGAGCCTCCGCAAGCTCTGCAAATCGGGGGTCTGCATCCGCTGCCCTCAGGTAACCTGGTGCGTTTCAACCTGAAAAATGTGAAAGTCTTTGGCTATCATCATCCCGACTAGGGTCGAACATGCCGAAAATAACAACAAAACATCATGATAACTGACGCTTTTTTCATGCAAATGCACCATACTTTGATAAGGACATAATTGAAAGGACACCTCAGCGATAACCAAGATCAAAGATAATTAGACACCAACAACGATTTTTCTTATCAGTCAATATTATCTTCAATTACGGAGACCCCAACAAAAAGTCAAATCATCCAAAACAAGTCAAAACAATCCAAAAACAATCCACAAAAACAATCCAAAAACAATCCAAAACAAATCCAAAACAAATCCAAAACATTCAAAAATTGTGGGAAACACCACCAGCAACGATCCAGATCGGGCTCCAGCAGCAACAATGGGCGTTCCGTCAGGATGGGCGTCCCCCAGCGCAGCCGCCGCAGCGCCGCGAAGCGGACGCCGCCGTCGCCGGCGATCAGCTCGCCGCGCACCACCGCCTCGCTGCCGCCACCGATGGATAAAGCGCTCAGAGCTGCACCGGGGCCGGCGCCACTGGGAGACATGGGCAAAAAAACAACGGGACCAGCGAAACGAATAAGGCGAAACGAATAAGGCGAAACCTTGAAACTGTTTGATATTTTTTGATAGTTTCATATGTTTCATTGTTTGATGTTTGGTGTTTGATAGTGGGGATCAATCACTCAGAAAGGCTGCGGTCGGATGTCGTGCATCTTTGGGAGTGTTTGGGAGGATTTTGGTATGATTGTGCCACTCCTGCAGTCCAGATCTTAAGTCATGCAAGTTGTCCTTGATACCTTGAGGCTCTTTCTGAGATCAAACACATGACAAGCGTTGAGCAAAGGCGCGCAGTGTCACATGCCATGCAGTGGGCCTGGACAAACAAGAGAATGGCATGCATCATCATGCATCTGCTGTAAGTCAAGAAGGGAAGCTTGGATAGGCTAGCATTTTGGCTGTGAATCAAGAAATAGGCCCCATGAAGTAGTCACTTGATGTGTTATGTGCTTCTCAACATGCACCTGCGAGCTCGAGAGCACAGGCCGATGCATGGCCAATGCCATGAACAATATCGCGCACACACACGCACAAACAATATCAGAGCCATCCATCAACGACATGAAGGCCTGGCTCTCCAACATCTTTTGCTTCGAGGGCTTGGTCTCCACTTTGGCCCTCAGTGACTTCAATGCTGCGGAGGCCTGGCCGGAACGGCTTTCTCGTGGAGCACTCGCAGGCCGCATCCCCAGGTCCAGAGCCAGGTCCTGCCGCACTTCTTCAGCCGCAGGATCTGATCCTCCCAACCAGTCCTCCAACTCAGCATGGCCAGGTTCGCCGGATCTTTGGGACTTCTCATCCTCCCATTCTGTGGCGCCAGTCTTCAGGTTTAAGCGGAAGAGTCGGCCATTCGGATCCCGAAACTCTCGCAGCGAGGGGTCGGACTTGGTCCTAGCCGAAAAGACGGAGGACCGTGGCTGATGCCACACAGCTGCTGGCTTCCTTTGACATTCCATGCCCCCCTCAATAGGTCAACCCCGCCAGAAAACCAAGCCCGCGTCCTAGTTTCTGCCAAAACGCTCGCAAGGCTGCATCTAATCAGCAGCGTCCAAACTGGCCACTTCATTCCGCGGGACCTGACAGAAACTGCCGCCACATAACACGAAGTTACAAGTCACATCCACAGAGGGGAAGCAGTCTGAAATCAAGAAAAAGAATGAAGAAAAGGCCATCTTGGGCATTGTGCTTCAGACATCTTGCCACGCGAAACAGTCACAAAACATAGTTTCTTACAGGATCTTACAGCAGGCGAACGTATGCTAAGATTCTGACCCGTGATTAGAGGACCACGGAGCAGCATCTTCAGCCAAATGCCCGGAACGGAATCCACAGGTCACACGAATTGGTGATTCTCTCATGGTGATTACAGCACGTCTGGGCAGGAAAGAAATGAGCGATGTCCGTGTAGGAGTCGCCTCAACCATCGAATTTGTTAAGATGAACCCTTCTTCCTACAAGGACAGAAGTACAGTCAAACTTTACAGAATTACCATCGTTGGTTTCCCCTGTTGTTTTCAGGCTAGGTGATGCTAGGTGCGCTGCTTTGCCAGCAATGCTACCAAAACATAACAAAACATGATCCAGGTACTTCACTCCAACCAAATACTTTCCGGATGCCTAATGGCATTGAATTACCTAGCGCATCCCCAAAGACTAAGAGAGGAGGCAATGCCCTGCCCTTAGATACAACCAGCAACCACTGTCTAGGTTGTCTTTCAGTATGCAGGCCATCTTTTTCCGTCGGCAGTTGTAACGCTAGACTCGCTAGACACAGGCAGTTGCAACGTGGTGTTACACCATGTTACTCCTGCGTTTGGCCAGTTCAGCGAGCAGGCCGCCTCAAAGACAAAAGCCTCATCTTAGCCTGATACTCACCGCGAAGATGGGATGAATTCAGTTGATGTTGTAGTTACATCACGTTCCATTTCCCTCTACTTATTTTGGTGTGTAATAAGGGGCAATGGGCATTAAATGGTATATAACTTCATCTATAGTCTATAGATTGCAGTTAGCATAGTTAGCAATGTTTGAACTATAGAAGTCCAAGCATAGGCCCGCCTCCTCAAGTTGCTTTTGAAGCTCCTCCGCTTCGACCAGGAGGTCACTTTCCTGCACCCAGCTGGAAATCCTTGCTGATGATTATGATGATGAGGATGATGATGACTGGGCATCTATCCCGTAAGAGTCAGAGGTCAACATCTTCGACATGCATGATGCATCATGATTCATGATACATATCACAGCGGCGCTGGCGCTTTTACGCAACAGCAGCGAAGTTGTGATTGTGCAAAGCTTCTTGCCATTTCTTGCCCATTTTCTGCACATTGGCACCGCCGAACTTGGGTCACTGGGAGAGGGGGTCAGGACAGCATGGACAGCTGTTCCACGGCCGCCTCGCATCTAGAAACCATCAGGATGTTTATGCATCGTCCCCATCCAGGTCGGCAGCTGAATACCTGTGGCTGTACCCTGAGTCAGTGTCCTCCTGATTTTTCATGATTTTTCATCCAAGGTCCATGGCCACCAGTGGCAACATTTCCATATCCACCATTGAAAGCAGTTGCGGATGAAGTCTTCACGCAGTGGAATGAAGGCAATTCGCCTCTTCAATCAGCAGACTTTGGGCTTCATGGCCTTTCATGCTGATGAGATGCGCATGATGCGCCCCAGTGATGTCAAAGCTATGAGCACCGCCATGATGGGACATCGGAGCGTCCTCTGCACCCCAAATCGACAAGATGAACCAGGCCTGATGTCTTGCAATCAAGAATTGAAAGGAAACACCGTATACACTGGCGGTAAATATACGCGGTACATGCATGTACATCAAATAGTACAAATAATTAAATGAATGCATAAATGAAATAAAGAATTAGATAAGTATATTATACATATTAAATATATAATTAATTATAATTATATGTCACATGATATCTTTACCGCTACATTGTAATTCCCGTTGCGGTTGCTTCACCCTACCCTGGTATTTCATGTATTTCTGCTCAGATGCGGCCTGGGACCGCAGCGCATCTTGGCAAATCTTCAGGGCGTGGAGGATCTGACTGGGACCCATCAGGCTCTCCCCCATCGTCCACAGCAAAACCTCCCAACCAAGGGACAAACAGTAGGAAAAACTTCCAGGAAACTCGTGAAAACCTGGTATACTGGTGTTATTGAAACATATTAAAACCGTGGTTTCCTGTGGATTTTTTCTAGAACCAACCCTGTGAGATAGGTATGAATTTGGATGAATTTGGTATTTCATGGCCTATTGTTCGAAAGATCACAGCTATGCTTGCACATTAAAGATTTGAAGGCACTGGGTGATAAACCGTCCTGTCATGGCTTTCGGGGCCAGGGGATGACGATGGAAGCAAAAAAAACAATACGAATTTCTCTTCCCTGATGTCATCTGATGTCCACGTGTGCCACATGGCACGAAATTCATCTTGTCTTGCAGGTGCCTCTTCACTCTTTTCTGGCTCCAGTGGATTGGGCTCACTGACCTCCAAAAAGGAGAGAAGGCCCCATCGTTCTCGGGAGCAAGTCTTGTTTTGTAAAGGTGCGTGCTTCATATAGAAGGCCCTACATGTACGTGATCTTGTCACCAAACCACACAGTAAACATACTCCAATGCAGGATGTCCATTAAAAAAAAAACAACACAGGACACCCACCGGGACCCATCGAGTGGACCAATTGAAAACCAGCAACACACTACACACTGACCTTCCCATCTTTCTCAATCGTTCTCACTTCCAAGCCTGCCACAGCTCTCCATCAAGGTGTTGTTCCAAACTGAGCCGCCCAAATTGCACAAAGGCACACACTTCCGTAAGCAAACCCGAAAGACTTTGTTGATTATTGTTTGTCAATAAAATTAAATTAGCGAGAAGATTAGCCGTGGCAAGTGGAGCACATGGGGCAAAATTTGACTGGCTGCATCCATATCATGTTTCCAGTAGTTTAGACATGTTTAGACCTTTCTTTAAAAACCCGCGAAGAATATCATGAGCTTCCAAGCACAAGTGCGTGCACTTGCGTACGGCAAGCTTATTCCCTCATACAAAAAAAATCAACCTGCTTGGGCAGAATCGCCGGGCAATCCATGGCCACATGTTTAATATCTTGAAGCATCTCATATCCTGAAGATGATCCCCATATCTGACCATCTCAGAATATTCAAATCTTTGGAGATCCGTGGAGATGATCAAAATATCTCAGAATCTCCATGGATATCATGGACGCCCTCCCAACTTCTCCGGCAAATTCCGAAGCAACTCGAGCTGAAGAGCTCCCAGCCAATCCAGCAAATCTTCACAAGCAGCCCCATAAGCTTCTGGGAAATCTGCCTCAGGCCATTGTCCCACGGCAACCTCTGGGGGAAATAAAAAGAGCTAAAAGATGCTAATAGTAGTAAGTAGAATCCTACTAAAATAGTGGTGGATTACTCTTCTATCTTTTGGATCTGTTTGGGGTGGTGCTATAAGTATCTATCAGTTCATACTCGATACTCGATCCCAAACCCTTTTGCTTTGCCCTTCCGAACTGCCAAATCCCTTGGGTTCCTCGTCCCAGTCGTCCCATGTCCGGGTTTTTCAATTCGGGAAGATGTTGAGGGAAAAGGACAGACTGATCTGGTGGTGATTTCAACCCATTTCGAATATTTTTTCTAGTCATTATAGTCAATTAGGATCTTCTCAGGTAGGATTGGGTTTCCAAGTTGGTATGTGAAACCACCAGACACACCATCCCAAGTTAGAAAACAATGAGTATATGATATCCTGGAGGGAAAAAAAAACTCATGGGCCAACAAGTTAAACAGGCCATAACCCATGGATTATCATTGGATATCAACCCCCCCAAAAAAAAAACAAACGGGTTTATATAATAACCTACAAATGTCATCAGATTTGCTGAAAGATCGACCCGTTCTTTTTCCACTAGCTAATTCCATCGAAATCCCAATGGGCCATGGTCACATTCCATCCCTTTCGCGCCTTCGGCCGCCGCGCATCCGGTCGACTCCACAGCGCTGGGTTTAGGACCAATTGCTCCAGGGGTGGTCTGGCGCTGGAAGGACCCAGCCTGCGGTTTTCGGGATTTCAATAGGAAAATCATGGGAAAATGCTGGGAACTCCTGCGCATAGTCACAAACTGCCTCAGCGTTGGGAGCATTTAAAAAAACGATGCAAGAATTCCCAATTCCAATAACATGGAACGGTTCCGCATGCATATATGACTATGACATATATACAGGACTATAATTTATCTTCACCGCCAAAAATATGGGAGGGGCCGCACCAACAACACCATAGAAATATCCCATGTAATTTTTATTTGGCTCATCATGAGCCCATATCGATGTGATGCGTTCATGGTTCCCTTTTTTCATGGTTCATATCTGTGGAAACGATCCAGCCTGGCAGGTCCAGTTTTGAGGCTGAGGTATCGAGCGTGAACTGGAACCTGCGGAGTGGAGGCAGCCAAGTGCAAAAATGGAGTCAGCAACCCTGTAAGAAAACCTCATACGATCGATCCATCCGTCCATCCATCCATGCATCCATCCATCCATCCATCCATCCATCTAATCTATCTAATCTAATCTGTCTATCTATCTATCTATTTTTTTTATTTTATGCTTGTTTTTGACACTACTCAATGTATGAACTTCAACAGCATCCATTAAGCAAATCCAGCCTCCTGCTGCCGAACTGTGGCCCACGATGATTGCAGAGGTAGAAAATCATAGGGCGGGTCCGGCTCCTTGTCGCAATAAGCCTCAGAAAGTGAGCTGCACTCGACGCATATGGTTCCGACGATGCATCAACCAGGCGCTCCGGGTGGTTGGCAAAGTGAAAATGCATTTCTAGTCTATATTCTGTGATATGTGTGCGTGTCTCGATTTGTATCCGCACGCACATGCACGAATATGTCTATTATAATATATATATATATATACTACAGTAATACATGTGTGCGTGTGTATTTTATCCGTTTATTATATTAATATTTATAGACCCATATAATTATACATACAATTGCATACTGTCTTTATTCAGTTATTTACGCGCTGAACCTACGCCCGAGGAATTCCTAGGGCAACATCGGATACAGTAAGTAGTTGGAGCACGGTCTTTATCTGGCCGTGCGTTTTCGTGCACATTGGGGGGGTGGGGTGGGGTGGGGTGGGGCATGTGGTAACGTTCATGTGAACTTGCTAGGTAAGTGGACTCGTCTCTGTGTGTGCCGTTATGTGCGTGTAGACATGGGTGGGGTGGGGTGGGGTGGGGCATGTGGTAACGTTCATGTGAACTTGCTAGGTAAGTGGACTCGTCTCTGTGTGTGCCGTTATGTGCGTGTAGACATGGGTGGGGTGGGGTGGGGTGGGGCATGTGGTAACGTTCATGTGAACTTGCTAGGTAAGTGGACTCGTCTCTGTGTGTGCCGTTATGTGCGTGTAGACATGGGTGGGGCGGGGTGGGGTGGGGTGGGGCATGTGGTAACGTTCATGTGAACTTGCTAGGTAAGTGGACTCGTCTCTTGTAAGTGTTCGGGTACTTGTAACTGATACGTCATGCTGCGCTCTTGTAAGTGTTCGGGTACTTGTAACTGATACGTCATGCGACGCTCTTGTAAGTGTTCGGGTACTTGTAACTGAAACGTGGTATTCCTGTACAGGCTGTGGTTCACCAGGTCAAGAATTTCACTGCGCCAGCACCAAAGATGTTTCGCGGTGTCTCCAATATAGCCGGCACTCAGACGTTGGACCGGTCTTGGAGGACTTTGAAAGAATTCCTTCCTGCTCACATGGTCTTGAAACACAAAGACCGTGGGCATTCAACGATGCACCCGTCAGTAACGCAATATGTGTTCATGTGGTGCTGGCGCTCCACCCTGGACAATCCAGATCCCCAAAGGTTCCTGGAAGAACTCGAACAGTTGCTGTGAGAAAAAAAACAATCAGAAAATGTCCGCTGGAAGTGCGATCAGTTTCTTTGGTTTCAACATCATTTACTTGTATGAATGCCTGTCTTTGGTTATAGTTAGCTGTTCGATGCAAGTGAAGGTCCGTTGCAAGGTCGTCTGGCAGGTTGTGCCACATTCATCAATACATAACATGTTGAAATCCAGGTCGGTTGCAAGGTCGTCTGGCAGGCTGTGCCAACTTCATCAATACATAACATGTGGAATTACAAAAAAATGCGTTTTCGCCTAGGGGAAACACTTGTTTTTTCATTCCTGCACCAGAATAAGGGGTTTCTTGTCTTTGAACTCACATCAAAACAATACAGGTCGAATTAGTTGGGGAGTTCTGAGAAACATCAAAAATGATAGTTTCGCCTAGGCGAAACGCTAGATTTTGATTTTATGCACCAGAATCACGGGTTTTTTGCCTTTGAAATCACATCAACCAAAATCCTATTGGCACGACCACATCAAACATCATCCATGACACCCCGTTGATCACAAAAACACCACGGCCAGATAAAGACCGTGTTCCTAGTTAGTTGCAGTTTGCAAATAGAAATTCTCAGGGCGCCCGAAGAATATGTGTTCGAAGTCGTTGACAGCAATCAGAAACGCGCAAACCCTCTCAAACCCCATGCTGAAAAGGCAACATGTTAGATTCTCCGTAACCGTTCAAACCCTACCCGTTCAAAAAAAAACAAAACCTGCTACAACGCGTTCAGAATGAGCCCGTTCCCCGTTCGCGAATGCACCAAAATGTAGCCTTTTGATGCCTTTTGTCTGTTTCAAAGTTGCAAGAACGGTATGAAATCGGACCTAGCTTGCAGCGTTCGTATTAGAAATAACAGAAAGCGAAATGAACCCCAATAACTAGCTAACTAGTTATGTCAATTGTGCCATCAATTTGCACGTTTTACAGTATATTTCATGGTTACCAGGATATCTTTATGGTGATATGTGTGTGTGTGACATCACAATGACGATGTACTATTCTATGATGTTAAGTGCTGGTGCTATTCATTGCAGTAACAATGCAGTGACGTCCTGAGTCCAGGCAAATGACTACCGCTGCATTCGGAAGGTTGAGATGCCAATGCCATTTCCCCCGTAATTAACCCGCGAAAAGATAGAAAAGTCTTTCCTGGTCGTTTGATGATTTTTCCCCATGATTTCCAACTGTTCTCTCCACCGGGGATAGAGAAACCAGCCGCTTTCAAGGCTTTCAAGGTGCCACCATGGAAATTTTTTCCCGCAATGGTTCCACCAAAGCTTGCCATCGGCTGGTGACCACTTCCCCAGCTGCAGCAGCTCGCTTCGCACGGGTTTTGGACACCGGGAGGTCCACAAAGACGTGGCGCTGGCCGTGGGGAAGGTACTTCTGCTCCAATTGGCCAGCACCTTTCGCAAAACACAAGCGCTGAACCATGGACCATGGTAGTTTGGATTAAAAATGAATTAAAGACTTGCTCCTACCTCCAGCAAAAAGACCTGGCCAGCATTCTCAAGCATTGCTAGCGCTGGAATCAAATCCCAATTGCGAGCAGACATTGTATTAACTGCAATTATGTTGTGGGCATTTCGCTGGAAGTGGAACACCCACCATCTTGACATGCTACTCCCATGGCAATACACGTCTCCATTTTCGAGGCAGTTGGTCAGCGGGTGCCAGTGGTAAGCTTTAGCTGTAGTACAGTAACATGCATGACAAAGAACAAAAGTGAACAACACTTGGCGAACAGCAGGCCATAAGACTATGCCCTAGTTGCATTCAAAAGACACTTTTTCAAGCGCGTGCATGTCACTCGCCTTCCCAGACCAAAGTCAAAACCGCTGTGAATACTTTTGGAATTGAGATGTACATCCCTAGTAATTATTGATAGGTATTGCTTATAAACGGCATCATGAAGTGCAATGCCCAGACCATTTTGTATTGTCGCACGGTCTACCTAAGGCCCCATCCTTTCCAGGCAAGGAAATCACATACCCGCGTTTTTTTGGGATGATGTTTGCTTGTTCAACATGTTCGATTTAAGTATAGCCGAAGGAAGTTTAGAAGTCAAACTTCCGACAATATGGACAGATGAAAAGCAGAGATGGGAAGGGTCAGCAAAAAGAAGAGAAGAAGAAAGAAGATCAAAAAAGAGAAAGTCTCAGAAGAAAGAAGATCCAGGTGCGCGAAAAGGTAGGAAAGTCGGGAAACACTGCGTTTTTTTCCACAATGATTCGTCGCTCCGGAGGGTCGAAAAGTAGGCTCGCTAAAGCGGCGGGTGCGGAGCCCGCTGGGCAAATGAGAGATGAAAAATTGCACACCGTAGTGGCGCGAAGCACATTTCGAAGTCAAAATGTACAAAACACACCAGGTCCTGACCAGTTTTGGAAGTTGAGATGTCGAAAAAGTGCATGCCATTGTGGTGCGAAGCACATTTCGAAGTCAAAATGTGAAAAGCACCACATGCTCGGACCACTTTTGGACGTTCAGATGTCGTTTCGCGTGGCAGGCGCACGGGATTGTGCACCTTGTCAAAAGTGAGCAAAACGTGCGGGTTTTGTAGCATTTCCAATGCATTTCCAAAAACGATGGCAGGCGTGGGACATTTGAAGAGGATCTGCAAAGATGCATTTTCCGTGGCAGGCGCAGTAAAAGAGACATGTTCATCAGAGCTGTTAGGAAGTCCGGGCGCTGATTTCCTGAGAGGGGTTGCATTTTGGAGCATCAGAATTTACCACCAGACACCCAAGTGCAACTGCAATGGATTGCAAAGAAACAGACTTGCCCTGCCTCCTGGGTTCTCACATGGTCTGTCGCTAAGGAAGTTCCCATTTGAATCACTCAACACTCAACACCACCAGTACAACATACCCACATGCCAGATTCATTGCCATTGGCTGAGTTTGAAAAGTATGCCTTTCCCATATTCAATGAGGCTTATGGAATCAGTTCTATCCCACAGGGTGCTATACACATCAATTTATATATATATATATATGTTTATATAAATGTGCACAGGACAGGTATGTCAATAGTAGCTCTAACTAATATATTTAAAAAATGAATCACAAAAAGAAAAAACATCAAAAATAACAATAATAGATCTTAATATTATACAGTTCATAATGCTTCATATGTATATATATATACACGTATATGTGCCATATGTAGGATTACCTTGTTTTTTTCGCATCAGCAGTCTACCCGTACCTGGCATCGCTTCCTCCAAGCCCAGGCGTCGATAGCTGGGCTCCTGCAGTGCTGCTATGAGGCGCTGCGGCAGCAGCGCCAGGACATTGCCACTCTGACCTGAGATCTCCCATAGATACCCTCTGGTTATTGAACATAGCCATGGTATAGATGTCCCATAGAAATAGATGGTTTAGCGAACTTAAAAATAGGGTAGATATATTACAGATACATTGTAGATAGTAATATAGATATGTTATAGATATATTGTAGGTATATTATAGTTATATCATGGAGATATTATAGAGATGTTTTGGATATAATAGATATAGTACAGATATATGTTGTTGATGTATCAGAAATATAGCGACAATATGTTGTAGATAGATTATGGGCGATGTATAGATATGGTATTAGCCATGAACTATAAACTCTAATTATGGGATCCGAGTGTCCCTACATACATATGAAATAACATGTTATGTAATTATAAACAGTAACACCTAAAAAAACTAACAGAAAAGAAAATCGCTAATTAAAAAAATGAAGAATCTACTTTCTTATCTAACTTGTTGCTAACTATATTGATTAATTGGTAATTAGTGACTATACGTGACTATGTATATATTTATTTCACTACTGACTTAATGGGTCCTTCATTCGTGTAATTCAATGGAAAATAACCATCAAGATACATCATTGTTAGATGAACTATTAAATTATATATATAACTATTGAACATTTGTTAGTAAGAGTAACGATTAAAACAAAAGAAATAAAATGAACGTATTTGTGGGGATAGTCAGCTACAAATGATATTTTACATAGTTGCTGGAACTTTAACTGTTCATGGTATACATACATATGTAAGCACTGGGAAATTAAACTAGAATAATTATTATGATAGAGGTATGTTACGTAAAATCAAACAACGAAGCATACCAGTGGTAAATTCACATAAATTCACTGGATGCTGTCTTATATATATATATCTCTCTCTCTCTCTTTGTGATAACAAATAACAATAATAATAATGTGGTAATATTGCACATTGGTCGCCTGTCACAACCAGTTCCTGTCACTATCAAAGAGCAAATATGTGTCACTATGATTGGCTCGCTAATTGACTGCATCGTTCCACGACATACTGGTTCCACAAATGCGGGATTTAGTTCAATATCTGCAAACCCAACGGTATTTTAATGGCTCGGTTGGCAATCTTATGAATCTTATGGTCATGTTTGGCAATGGGTCTCTGCCAGATGATCCGTTGTCTACAACTCGTGTTTCGATAGCGAAGTCAAGCCACATGGATCTGGAAAATGCAATGGGATAATCTACATAATTGTTTGGATTTAGTCATGGGATAATCCGAGAATCTATGAGATGAGATACGCACACACACACGGATGTGTGTATATGTGTATACATATATATATATATTTATATGTATGCACATATAGTTATATAATGTTATATTATATATATATAGACGCCAAATCTCAATCTGAATGAGAAGCTTATGTTTGTGGGGTGGTTTAAGAGGTTTCACGGGTCAATTCCCCAGGCAAAAATGGATGCAACAGCAGTTTCCACCTCGATCACCTTGGCTGATCGCCGCTATGCGCCATCTGCCCATCGCTGTCACAAAGACCGGATCCCCGAGGGCGTCCAGAGACACATCCTGGTGATCGAAAAACCAGGCAGTACCCTTTGGTAAACGTTTACATAACTATGGAAAATCACCATTTTTCATGGGAAAAATCACTATTTCGACTGGCCCATGTTCAATAGCTATGTTAAATTACCAGAGGGTAACCATCTATGAACATCCTTTGGGTCACCTTGGGGAGGGTTGAATCGTGCTGCATCCCCGAGACAGCAATCCTCGAAAATTCTGTCTCACGAGGCCACTTAAGGTCAACGTTCCGTGCATCAGAAAAGGGGTGGCGTGGACTACAGAAAGGCTGCACAGGAGGATTCACAGTTGATTTGCACATCCTTTTCTCTGCATGAATGATCCATGATTCTCCATAATTTTGTCGCTGCTGTTCAACAATCTCCTCCAACTCAAAGCTATGTCGCTGCAGTTGTATTCGTGAGGCTAGCTGCACCTGACCAGCTGTGCAAGGACGGAGTAGTTAGGCGAAAAAGAGCTTCTGAATTGCTGCTTCTGGCAGTCATAGGCATGAGAAAGGACAGAATCCACATAAAAATTCAAAAAGCAAGATTATAGAAAGTAATAATTATTTAAAAAAAATGCAAATATCAAACATTTCAACAAGTGGTTCGAATAAGCCAAATTACTAAGCTCAGTGAAACGCACCTTATCTTCTTGCGACAAGCCCTCAACAGGCAAAAGGAGGGAGATCTTGCGGGTGAACCATGCCTGCCAACGAGCTTGCGGTTAAGACTCCCGTTCGCTTCGCGGCTGAAACCACTGCTGCAGAACATTTTGCTGAACCGTCCATTTTGCTGGGTCCAATTGTTTTATTCCTAATATGTCCTAAATATCATGCTTTCAGGCTTTTAAAAGGTCTAAATCACCTTCTTTCATGGTTTTAATAGTGATTAATACTGATTAATCACTATTAATCACTATTAATCGCTGACCATTCCCAAGTTCTTTTCCTGCAGCTCAACCAGCGCAAACGCCGGCGCCTTGCTTGCGAGTCGCTCGAATCGCTGCTTCGCCGTGGGGCCCCTTGTGATTGTCAACTCTCCCAAGGGGATGCTGTTTGGCATCTCCTGAAGAGATGGCGGAAAAGTCGGGGTGGATGGTACAATAGATATATAGATATATAGATATATAGATATATATAGATATATAGATATATAGATACATATAGATATATAGATATATATATATATAGATATATATAGATATATAGATATATATAGATATATAGATATGTAGAAGCATTGATATGTTTGGATATTTGTGCGCTTTCGCCCGTTCGAGTCACAAGTATGACCACATATGACCACGGTCCTTTCAGGACACGGCAGGTGAAAAAAAATCACCCCGCCAACTTACCGGATGCTGGGAGAAATCTGTGCATTGTTTGTTGGTCAATTTTTCCCGGAGACTGATATACATATACATATATAAATAATATACATATTATATATGTAGATATATCAATACATAGAAATACACTGTAGATATATATATATATACAGTGTATATATATATATATAAACTAAAAAAAAATATAGGCACATGGGGATATATAATTAGACATACATACACATACATCCTCATACATACACATACATACACATATGTCTATACATATAATGTGTCTTATGTGTGTGTGTGTGTCTTTAGGTATACATACACACACATATATGTACACATATACATACTAGTGTGTATATATATAATATTATATTTATGTGATTTATGTGTACATGTTATGGATATATATATTATATTATATTATATATATAGAGATAGAGATGTGATGTGTTGCATCTGCCAACCATGCCGTGAGCACCTTGGGCCTCAACCGTCAGCTGGCTGGGCCATAAGTCCAACGGTCCATGGCACTGACAGCATTTGAAACGCAAATTGCTGCGTAACATCGGCAACGTCCATGGCTCTCAGCGTTTTCTTGTGAGGTTTTGTAGGGAAGCTGTTCACAGCAATGCTACATTGCTACCCTAGATCTGCAATGGGTGGACACTTTGGATATCGTTGAATCATTTGGGTCCATTTGGGTCCTCTTTTTCTCTGACTTGTGGCATGCTTTAACGGTGCAAATGCTGTCCTCAAGTTTGGAGCATTTTGAAACACTTGCTCCACAAATCTCATATCAGTTCATCCATTATGAAGACATACTAAGTCCATCCTGCACATGAAACGAACCGGCCCTTGCCTCTGCTCTGGTCCCGCGAGCAATGTCGCTGTGAGTGATGGAAGCCTAAGGCTAACAGCCCATCTACTTAGTATGATGAGATCATGACTGGAATTACAAACTCCCCTCCAATTGCTGCTGCGACACCAGCGCAGCAGTCCTAGAACTGCGCAGCTGGTCATGGATGGATTCTTTCTCCTGGCCCCAGGGGCATTGACTTTCATCAGTGTGGCCGTTGACATCACTACCTGACATATCGTCACATCACCTGCATCTGACTTCCTGAACGGCGCCTTCACAGCCTCCTCATGAGCCAATGCAGCAATGACATCATCATAGGCTCGCGGGGTCTCATTCGCAGTCTGCGGTGAAATGGTAGAACCTTCGCCTTAGAGCATGCTACGTCTGCCGCGTGATCTCTGGCACCGCTTGCACGCAACTAGTTCGCAAGAGTTTCGCATCATGTGGTAAAACCAATAATAAACCATCCCAAAAATCACCATGAATGAGTGCTGTAAACCATTCCCAAATGATAGGTTCATTCTGGGTTTCCCCACAACAATGCCCGGTGCTGACTCCACCCTGCACTGCATCCTACATCTGCTACAGAAACCAGGCTGGGGCCGCCACTGTCGAATGCTCGCACCTCAGATTCTCTTGGTTGGTTCATGAAGCCATGGCGAAATCATTCATTACTGGGATGATATGGGGTCACGGAATTCACCTAAATTTTCTTTTTTCACATATCAAACTGTCCAGTTTTGGAGGGATTCTTTTTGAGCCATACCAATATTGGCAGCTCAGCAGGGCACTGGGAGGCTGTCACCCTCAACCTCCACCTGAAAAGTCTGACCGACCTGGGCGCCGCCGCAAACGAGATCGAAATTAATTATATTGAAGTGCCATTTTGATGGTAATCTCCATGTTCACATCCAAATTGGCACCCAAAGTGTCCCAACATACTTGTAACTTGTACCAACAAAACCAACTCAGTTTCACGCCTCACTTGGAGAGCTCCTGGCCAACGCAACGATTGACCATAAAGACTTACTAACTTAAGTAGGCCGCCACTAAAATCAACTTGAACTTTGGCAGTTAGCCTTAAGATTCCCTGCGTCCACCCTTGCAGCATGGATCTTTGCCATACCTCAGCAGCCGATGGCCTCAAGAGTGCATCAGCGGCAGCGAGAAGCGCCAACCGCAGACATGCACCTAGGCAAGACCCAGAGATTCGTTGCGTCGAGATTCATTTCCTAAGTACAACCGAAATGCTGATCTTCATTGTGGCAACGGCGCCGCGCTACCTTGAGCCAACCGGCTGCCTCTGTCAAGCCTGAAAATGCTATAGTCCTCCAGTTTCAAGAGTCACATGTCAAAGTTGGAGTCACATGCAGTGACTACAGTGACTACAGATACTACAGGGCTCAGGCCTCCAACTCTCGTTTTGAGTTGTTCTTGAAAACGTCCCCGCACATCCCCATGCACTATTCATTCTGAAGTGGGACAGCTCTTTTTGCTACAATTCCTCACGACGCTTGGACTCCTCGATGTCATATTCTTCATCCTCCTGGTTCAAAGATTGCCCAAGCATGGACAGGTTCGGCACCCCACAAGCTGGGCTCCTCTCCGGCGATAACTCGAAACAGAGGAATCTCAGCACCTAAGCAGCACTGGAATTCCGCAGTGCCAATCGCCTACAGCTGCCCTTGGAACCCACATTTTGCAGCATAGTGGCTTTGGCCGATGGGATTTTGCATCTGGAGCTCAGAGAGTCGCTGACAGGCAGCCTCCACAGGGTCGAAAAAAACCTTCCAACCCAAAATCAAAAAGATGGTGAAATATGAAAATAAAATAGCCACCAAATGGCACCAGTAAGATATACAAAGTGGGGTGTCCACCTGTTTTCACAGCTGCGAATTCGGTCATCGGCATCTGCCACACCAATCCTGGCCACATGTGTAGCATGTCCCTGGCCTCCGCTCGCAATCTGCCCAACTGGGAGCAACCAGCATGTTGTCGTAAGAAGTCAATCTCGAACCTGGTCGACAACAAATAACTGGAGGATACGACTGATTTGGGATCTCTTTGGTCCATCTCTCTCCCTTCTTTGGGTTTCAAAATCGCCATCATGAAGTCGCCAATCCGGGTAGCCTCAACACATCTTGGCTATTGGTTTTGCCCTTGCGCTTTTTGAACAGCTTCATCAAGCTTCTCTTCTTTTGGACCAGGACTTTCCACTGCCACAGGCTTGTGTAGAGCTCTGATCCTGGGGCGGCTGGAGTTTCAAGCTGCATCTGGTTCTAAAGAAGTCTATAGAAGTCTGGCAGCCCTCCAAAACTGTGAGCCTCTAGAAATTGTCGGAGTGACATGAGACACCATAAGATATTCATAGATGTTGATCTATATTCTTTCAAATATCGTTGAGCAGTCTTTGGAATTAGTTATTCGATGTCATTCCAGCATCCTTGTACAACAATTGAATGTAATATGTATATATATATATATCAATATATATATATGTGTGTGTGTGATACCCCCCAAGACCTACATTTCAAGCAAATTTATTGGTATTTACAGTGTTTTTACTAACATTTTGGACTCTACAACTTAGGGCATTTTCTGGTGATCAGAAATTACATTTTTTTGCAAGTCTTTTGGGAATCTTGGATCTTATATTTGCAAAGAATGCATTCAGAATGCATTCTTCTCCGGATCTAGGGGGGTAGGATTCAAGATTCAAGATTCAAGGCTTAGAAAAAAATTCTTGAATCCAAGGAGGTAGGGCTCAGAAAAAACTTCTTGAATCCAAGGAGGTAGGATTCAAGATTCAAGATTCCAAAAAAAAAATCTTGAATCCAAGGGGGTAGGATTCAAGATTCAAGATTCAAGGCTCAGAAAAAACTTCTTCAATCCCACCCCCTTGGATTCAAGAATTCTTTTTGGGATCTTGAATCTTGAATCTTGAATCCTACCTCCTTGGATTCAAGAAGTTTTTTCTGTGCCTTGAATCTTGAATCTTGAATCCTACACCCTTGGATTCAAGAATTCTTTTTGGGATCTTGAATCTTGAATCTTGAATCCTACCTCCTTGGATTCAAGAAGTTTTTTCTGAGCCTTGAATCTTGAATCTTGGATCCTACCCCTTGGATTCAAGAATTATCTTGGAATCTTGAATCTTGAATCCTACCTCCTTAGATTCAAGAAGTTTTTTCTGAGCCTTGAATCTTGAATCTTGAATCCAAAGAGGTTGGATTGAAGAAGTTTTTTCTGAGCTTTGAATCTTGAATCTTGAATCCAAAGAGGTTGGATTGAAGAAGTTTTTTTCTGAGCTTTGAATCTTGAATATTGAATCCAAATACTTGGAATAATGCTAGTCACCAGAAATTGCAATTTCGTGCAAATGATCGGCCTGTCTGCTAAGGACATTCCTCAAATAAACTTGCTTACCCTGTAAAAGGAAATTCTGAAGCAGATTATTTTGTTTTTGCTTTCCAAGCAAATCAATCAACTTTGGCAAAAATAACGAAAAACATAAACATGCAATAAAGGTAATTAGATTCATGATAATAAGGGTAAAATAAATTGAGAAAGAACCTTCTGCAATCTTAAATAGTAATTTCTTTAACAATCAAGAAGAAAAAAATAAACAATAATGAGTAAAATCCATGAACTCATCCGATAGCAATACCTCTTTATCTACAGATCAATCAATACCTTCCCAACAAAATGTATATTAGAAAGGGTTGCAGATAGATCGGCAAAGATTTTTTTCTTTTAACAAAACATTGTGGCAAATTATGTTTAGAAAAAAAGGTAATAGACTATAAAAACCTTGAAATGCTACCAAAGTTCACATCACAAAATGGTAGAATATTGTCATTGAAATATACAAGCAATTCAATCTGAAAAAACATATCCAAGATTTAAAAAATAAGTTGATTAACTTAAACTAGATCCTAAGAATATAGAGCTAAAAGAAATAATAAAAATATAGGATCGTTCAAAGTAAAAATGCATATTCACCCAATGCTAGAAACTCTTATATTTAATACATTTTAAAAAAAAAATCGCAAAATTAAGAACTATAAAAAAAAAGTAAGACAATTTAAAAAATGACATATATTAAAAACTGATCTAGTTTTTTTACTTATTAATTTATTATCATCAAAATCATTTATGTTTAAAACATAATATATCTAACTCAAGCAATCCTGGATTTAAAGCAATGAAATTACAAAATAATCTGCATTATACAGATTTTAAAAATGAATCATGACAGCAAACAAACATCAATTCTTCTACAAAAAAGATGGTAGATGCTGAAGAAAAAGCTAATGGAAATAACGTAGGTTCACAAGAACAAAAAAATACCTAACATCAAATGAAAATATGATTGATTATTGTCAATTTACTATGCCAAGCTTGATGGAATGTTATGAAATTGTAGGAGGATTAAAAAAGTAATTGCATTAATAAAAATGTAAAATCTCAAGATGCACTAACTATATCACCTAATCGTAGAAGCCAAAAGGTTTCAAATTGCTACAGAAAATTTAGTAAACGTGAATTCTACCAGTAGTCATTATGAACAACTACCTTACAAAAAGTTGTATTCATCAAAAAAAATATGCTATACTCTGCTGTAAAAACAGACAACAAAGTTTCAGTCCATCTATTCCCCTAATTATATTGCTGCAAATCCTAAAGGATATGTAAAAATACCAAATATCGTAGAAGATATTGAAAAAGCAGACTTGCAAGAATCAGATCATAGATGAAAAAATCGTGTTGATAAATATATTAAAAATGTCTGAAAAAATGAAACAGAAAACATTAAGTATAATGAAATAAATGTGTCAAATATAGATGTTACAGCGCTATGCTGCAGCTACATATGTGGGCAGGATGTGTCCAGCTACAATAGGTGATAAGATAAGAAGGAAAACAAGGCATTCAGGAACATATCTGCTACACAAAAGGTAGGTCTTGGGGGGGATATATATATATATATACATTAGTTGTGATACTCAAAAACGGTTCACCCTATCCAGGCTCACATCCGCATAGCTTTTTCTTTCCCAGACTCTTCGTGCGGTCTCAACCTGCTCCTCGCAGGATAGTGCTTTGGAACGCTGTGCAGGTAGTCTCCTGCACAGCAGCACTGGTTGGATCCGTACACCCTGTTCCGCACTCCTGTAAACTCAGGAGGCTACACAGGTTGAATCTCTCCCGCCCAGTGCTACAGTCGTGGAACTCCACGTAGAGATCAGCATCCTCAATGATGTGATCCCCTACAAGGGAGGATACTCCACCGGAGTCCTACCTCATAGGGAGGGAAGGGAGAAGGGAGGAAAGAAGATGGCCAGTTTGGCAAAGCCAAACATCAGCTTACATACTCACCCTAATGATAATGCACACCCAGTGCCTGCCAAACACGATGCATACATACAAAAAGTAGATACTCCAGGCTCCAGGCTCACATCCGCATGGACTCTTCGTGCGGTCTCAACCTGCTCCTCGCAGGATAGTGCTTTGGAACGCTGTGCAGGTAGTCTCCTGCACAGCAGCACTGGTTGGATCCGTACACCCTGTTCCGCACTCCTGTAAACTCAGGAGGCTACACAGGTTGAATCTCTCCCGCCCAGTGCTACAGTCGTGGGACTCCACGTAGAGATCAACATCCTCAATGATGTGATCCCCTACAAGAGAGGATACTCCACCGGAGTCCTATCTCATAGGGAGGGAAGGGAGGGAAAAGAAAGAACGATGAAGCCAGTTTGGCTCAGACTTGAGCCAAAATGGATTCATCAGCTTACATACTCACCCTAATGATAATGCACACCCAGTGCCTGCCAAACACGATGCATACATACATTAGTTGTGAGATGTAAAGCATAGATACTCAAAACGGTTCACTCTATCCAGGCTCACATCCGCATAGCTTTTTCTTCCCAAACTCTTCGTGCGGTCTCAACCTGCTCCTCGCAGGATAGTGCTTTGGAACGCTGTGCAGGTAGTCTCCTGCACAGCAGCACTGGTTGGATCCGTACACCCTGTTCCGCACTCCTGTAAACTCAGGAGGCTACACAGGTTGAATCTCTCCCAATGCACTTCTATCCCAAAGCACTCAGAGAAACTCCACAACCCGGAGAAACGCGGGAAGTGGTAGAGACCAAATCTCGAAGGGGAAAAATGCAAAATGCGTGGTGAACCCATGGCGTCTATGCCATGTTGCCTGAAGGCCATCTCTGCTGATCTCGTCTGACCAGTTGGCCTTACTAGGGATCCACTCCCAGAAAAACCAAGCTTTAAGACCAAAAAGGGTAATATGAATCAAACGAGACATATGCTCTAAATCTGCATTGTCAGAACGACCTCGAATCAAAGCCATGAGCGCTGCCGTGTTGTCGATGAACCAGAGTCCTCGTCTGCCCCGAAACGATGACGGCCGAGAAAACAAAGCATAGAGAACTTGCAGCAGCTCTAACTGGGCAATCTTCTTGTCACCAGGCTCCCAGAGGCTGTACACCAATGGAGGGATGAGAGAAACAAAGGCCTCTCGCTGTTGCCGGTGATCGTCATGCCACACCACCAGGAAGCCCCCTGTACCCTGACCTGGGCTCTCCAATGCAGCATCAGAAGCAGCAAGGAAACGGAGCCCTGCATGTGGCCAGATCTCAATGTGTCTGGAGGGTCGGGTGGTGATGACCGTGCGCAAAAGGCTGAAGCATTGGCGCAACTCCTCAGTCAACTCTGCGGAGCGCTCCTGCTGTCTGCGCTTGATAGGGGCCAGGCCACCGCAGCCAATGCGCCCCCACACACCAAGCTCAAAGAAGTTGGCGATGCCGTAGATCTTGGCAGCCACCCCTGGTTGCAGTTTACTGGAATCCTCGGCAGTCTTCATGAGGTGGAGCAACTTGGTCTCAATGCGCTCGCGGGCCCAAAACTGAACTATGCCCTTCGCATGAACTTGACTGAAATCATGATCAAGGCCCAGGAAGGTGCCGGCACCCTGCATCTTCTGGCATTTCTCTTCTGAAAACGGAGTACCCAAAAGGGTGTTGAGTGTCTGCATCGCACGTTGACCTGATCCTCTGCAGGACTTGCGGTCTGTCACATGAGCATCATCAAAATACAAGCTCGTCAAACAAAAGGCAAATCGACGTGATAAAGCCTCCACAAAACGACTGTATCGATTGAAGGATGTGACTGCAAGGGGGAGACCAAAAAGCAAGCCAGTGTAGATCATAAAAGCCGGTTGTTGCC